GCAACGATGGGTCCCGCGTGTTTGAGCGGGACCATCTTGATGCATTATGATGGCAGTGGCAAATGTCTTGTGGCGATCAAAATCGCACGAGTTCACATTTCGCGGGCATTTTTATATGAATTGGCGCGATTATTTAATTTCATCCAATAAATATCTGTTTTAGCACTATCACTCTCTCATTGGCTGAAATTTGTATGTGTGATGTTCAAACTTCGGTGTGGCTTAAATTCCCTCGTTGTCTGTACAACTGGTTCAATTACGATCGGCAAACAAGGACTAAAACCGGTCATGCCAAACCAGTTGGAACAAGACTTGGTGTCGTGGATCGCTGCAATGCAACGCACTGGCTGGCCTGTTGAGCGCTATGAAATCATCATCAAGGCGAATTAAATACTGTCGCACCTGTTTGGCGTTCCGCGCTCCGTTGGACGTGGCTGGTACGCTCGATTAGAAAAACGGCATGCTGATCTGTCAGCTCGGGTGGCCCAGAAGTCAAGCAATCCACGCAACGCTGTGTCTCGTGAGGGTGTCAGAAGATACTTCTTTGATCTCGTGAAGGCTTGCCTCGGTTTTACGTGTACAGCCGGCGACATCTACAACGTTTATGAGACCAGCTTTCAGACAAAGGGAAAGAACAAAATCGTCGTTGCAATCCGGGGCTCAAAGAATGTTTGGAAGAATGATCACAACAACTCCTACCATTTAACGATCGTCGCTGCGGTAGCTGCCTATGGAACCCCAGTGCCTCCTGCGTTTATTCTCCCTGGAGCATCGTGTCAGACTGGTGTCCTGGACAATTGCCTTGTACCGAACGCAATGATCTCAGCGTCGCCGAAAGCTTTCATGAACTCCAACCTATTCGACGGCTGGTTAGAATGCTTTGGTGAATGGAAGCTGCACAAACGTGGCGCTCGTCCAGCGGTGCTTGTGCTAGACAACTGCTCATCTCACCTTTCGGTCAACAGCATCTCCATCTGTGAGGCATACGGGATCTGCTTGGTGCGACTCCCACCGAACGTCACGCACCTATTGCAATCTTTGGATGTGGCCCTGTTCCGAACTTCAAGCGCAAAATTGCCTATGGGGTTACTGAACGTTTGCAGGCCATGAACTCGACATTGTTACCTCGAGAGACGGCCATTGCAATTACCGGGAACGCTTTCAACGCTGTTTTTCCTCAGCATGTGAAGAAAACTAAGCAAGCAGTGGTAAAAGGTTTCCGTACCTGTGGTATTTGGCCTTTGTCGCTTCCATGCATGCTGCGTCACTTAGCCGCTGCAAAGACCAATTGTGTGGAGGGGCTGCTGGGTTCTGAAGTTTGGTTGAAGACAGTGGAAGTCGTTCTTACCTTGCCACCGAAAAGAGCAGGGCGCAAGAGGGCGTCGACAGAACAGAATTGGCACACCCGCGACGCTCTCCATGCCTTCTCGGTCAGCCAGGAAAGCGAAAGACGTGATCCGATATTTTTTTGAATCCTGTCATTATATTTGTCTGTAATAAAATGACTTTTGTCGACACCTTGAATTTAAATAAAGTGATTATATTTTGGTCTCGTTTTTTGTAAATTGTTTTGTTCACATACTGAACTCAAGACTTGGAAGTGTCCGCGATTTGTGAAACCTTGAAGTTTTCATGTGCGCTTGACTGGAGAGATTATAATTTGAGTACAAATCTCAAAAGTCGTCAAATGCTACACAAAGTGACACCAAAAATCGAAGTTGAATTGTATTTTCGTGGGGTACTTTCCGTTTTTCCTGCAACAACATAGTGTATTCAGGCGACGAAGTAGAAAACATAGGTCAAATTTCGGCAAAAAATGTTTGGTATTTCGATGCGTTACCTTAGTAGTACAGTCCGCGCCACTCAAATAGGACAATTAGTATTTTCACGATAACTTTGCCAATATTGCTCCAATTTGCGTCAAATTAGCACCGAAATCACCGCATTGATTGGTTCTATCGATTGCCGCCTGTTTCAAATGGAGCTGGAGTAATCGCGGGAAAACCTAAATTTGGGCGCGACAGTCAAATAAGAA